TTCGCACTGCTCGTCGCGTTCCTCGTTCGCGTCCTCCTCCTGTCCCCGGCACGCACGCTATGGCACTCCGTCCTTCCTCTGTTCCACTGCGTGTTCCCCTGCCTGCTCCTCCTGAGTCCTCTCTTCCTGAGGTCCCTGACCCTGAGTCTGACCAAGCTTGTGCTGCCAGTCCCACTGTCTCTCGTCTCCTCGCCACTGTTGTCACTGACCCTTCTTTTGAGTCTGCTACTGCGTCTGCTCTCGTTGCTGAGCTGCTTGACTTTGCTGCTGCCTGTCGTCTAGACTACGCCACTGCTCTTGTTGCTGAGTCTGCGTCTGCCAGTCCTCCGTCCGTCGGGGGTGAGTGTGCTCTTCGCACGGACGTCCTTGAGGACAGGCAGGAGGACTTTGAGTGTCTTGCAGCTGCTGTACCTCGTTTCGCTTCCATGCTGCTTGCCCCTGAGGGAGACCCGGATGCTCCTGACATCCCGACCCCGCGCTCTTACGCAGAGGCAATTACGGGTCCTTACTCCTCTCAGTGGCAGGCAGCCATGGATGCCGAGATGGCATCCTGGAAGTCCACAGGCACCTACGTCGATGAGGTTCCCCCACCTGGGGCGAACATAGTCGATGGCATGTGGATCTTCAGGGTGAAGCGGCCGCTGGGTTCTCCGCCTGCCTTCAAGGCGCGTTACGTTGCCAGAGGCTTCAGTCAGCGACAGGGAGTTGACTACTTCCAGATCTTCTCCCCCACCCCAAAGATGACTACTCTTCGGGTGTTGCTGCACGTCGCTGCTCAGCGTGACTACGAGTTGCACTCTCTGGACTTCAGCACAGCTTTCTTGCAGGGCTGCCTGCACGAGGAGATCTGGCTGCACCGCCCACCTGGTTTCACTGAGTCTTTTCCTGCAGGTACTCAGTGGAGTCTTCGGCGGCCAGTCTACGGTCTCCGCCAGGCGCCTCGCGAGTGGCACGACACACTGAGGACTACACTTGCGGCTCTTGGGTTTGCTCCTTCTACTGCTGACCCGTCGCTGTTTCTACGCACCGACACCTCGCTGCCGCCGTTCTACGTCCTGGTCTATGTCGACGACCTCGTCTTTGCCACTGCTGACACTGAGGCACTGACTCTTGTGAAGTCGGAGCTGCAGAAGAGACACACCTGCACTGACCTGGGTGAACTGCACAGCTATCTTGGCTTGCAGATCACCCGGGACAGAGCTAGGCGCACCATCACCCTGACTCAGTCACACATGGTGCACCAGGTCCTTTAGCGCCTCAGCTTCCAGTTCTCCTCGCCACAGCCCACTCCTCTGTCTACCAGCCACTCGCTCTCAGCTCCACCTTCGGACGAGTGCGTAGAGCCGAGTGGTCCGTACCCAGAGCTTGTGGGTTGCCTCATGTACCTGATGATGTGCACTCGACCCAACCTCGCGTACCCTCTCAGCCTCCTAGCTCGCTACGTGGCTCCCGGCAGGCACCGAAAGGTGCACTGGGATGCTGCGAAGAGGGTATTGCGTTACTTGTGCAGTACGTCAGGCATGGGGTTCGTGCTTGGAGGACGGGGTCTAGTTGTCCTCACCTGTCACGCAGACGCCTCCTGGGTTGACGACTCAGCTACGCAGCGGTCGTCACAGGGTTACAACTTCAGCCTTGGTTCCGGCTCTGTTTCTTGGCGGTCTACCCGCTCGTCTTTGGTTCTCAGCTCTAGTTGTGAGGCTGAGATCTACGCCGGGGCCATGGCTGCACAGGAGCTACGCTGGCTCACCTACCTGCTGACCGACTTGGGAGAGCGGCCTCGTTCGCCTCCAGTTCTGTACGTAGACAACAAGGCCATGATTGCCTTGTGTCAGGAGCACAGACTGGAGCACAGAACGAAGCACATCGCTCTGCGATACTTCCTTGCTCGAGAGTTGCAGCAGCGTGGCCAGCTTCGTCTTGCGTACGTGGCCACTCGGGCCAACACTGCTGATGTCTTCACCAAGGCACTTTCGCCTGGTGATCATCAGCGCTTTGTTACTGTGTTAGGCCTTGTGCCTACTTTGCCTCACTTACTTACTGCTTGACTCTGCTTGTACTGTGATCTATATATATACTTGCATGCTTGCACTTGCTAGGGTATGATCACTGTATTGTTTATTCTCTTTATATAACTCTGCATGTGAACTGGCCTTGTGGCCCTTTGCTTGTGCTCGGACTGTGTGGTGACTTTGTGATCCACCCTGAGCTTGCTTTGTGTTTTCTTGACTGGTCTTGTGACCACTTGTTTTCCCCCACTTTGCCTATGGGGGTGTGTCAGAACATTATAGCTTATACATTTGTGTAGGCTGTAGTGGGGTAGCCCATAAGGGGTACGACCCAATTAGGGTTAGTACTTGTACCTAACTCTTTGCTAGTTCATTCATCCTCGTTCGTTACTTTCACAAGGTATTGGCCTTCTCCCCTGCTGCCAGCGATTGATGTCCAATAGCTGTTGGAACAGGCAGCTTGATGAATTAGAATCCTTCGGTTGGTACACGCCATTTAGGTGTCGTCAGGCGTCGAGAGCAGGAGCGGATGTTGTCTTGTACGATCGTATGCTCAATTGCTCTGCCGACGACATGTTTCATAGTAGGACGCCGTATGCCATCAGTGACTCGTTGTAGTATTGAGCCCTGGCATCAGCGGTGTCTTCAGCAGGTCCCGAGTAGCTCCCGTCGAAATAGTGGAATATCTATGCGTTTTGCAGTAGCAGCTCCAGCTCGAAGCTCCACGTATAGATTGTGAAAATCGTAGGTAGAGTTAGGAGCCATAGCTAGGTAAGTCCTAGCTAGGCAAGAGAAGTTTAGGCAAAAGAGGAGGAGTTCACTAGCAGCAATGAGGATACATATAGCAAACCCTAGATGGGTTGTACTCGCTATAGAGCACCCCACTACAGGCTAGAGAATAACATTCTGACATAGATGTCTATGCCGTCAAAACACGCACTTATCTTGATTTTTTATTTGCTCAGGAATTTTGATTGAGCAGAGAGAATTGCTTCTTCGCTGGGACGGAGAGTCTTGGGAGTTGAGCCATTTGTGTCGAAGGAGAAGGTGTGCGAGGCGATATTGTGGCCGCTCGAGGCCGGTTGAGAGGGTTGGGAAGATGTTCCCGCATCGCCATTCCGCAATGTTTGGAGTCGTTGCTCCAGGCTGGTGAGTCGCTGAAGCAGTTGTGCGAGGATGGCGGTTTCTATCGTCGTCGTTTCCTCGCTTGTCGCAGCCAGGTTGGGCTGCCTTCAGCGGTCAGATTCGTCTGACCTCCGATCCTCCGGCCATTCTTATACGCGAGCGTGTGCCGGACGCCATCTTAGATCGCCAAGGATTTCGGAGGTAGCGGTGCGAAGGATTCATGAGTCGCTCTCATACCATGCTGCGATCATAAGTTGATCGTAACCAAGATCACCTCAGGAAAGGTTCGCACACAACTAGGTAGAGGTGGTGGGCCCTTCACCTCAAATCTCAGTGAATGTAAAATGATTGAGATGATAAGAGTACAAGGTGGAATACGAAGCGACCTAGCTAGCCATGTACTCTAAGGGGTACATTCCCTTATTGCAGCGAAACCCAACCGTGCGACTCCAAACGGTTACAAACTGCTCGGGCAGAATCCTCGCCACTGTTGCTGCCTGATGTTGTCTGCCCTGGCGGTCCAGATGCTCCGCAACCGTACGACCCTTCGCGTCATTCCGCCTGTCCGTCTTCAACCTCGGTACTGCGTACTTCGTTTGCTGCTGTCAGGAGTGCACAGTAATGCATCATCTTTTACTCTTCGTAACAGCACTTTCGCCCTACCCCTCGCTACAATGTCATAGGGGGGCTTCGTGTTTTGTTTCCTAAGTCCCATGTTGCAAGGGCGTGGGTTCTCGAGTCTCCGAACCCCACAACATCAAGATTACTAAACTTGCACTGCGCGGTCCGCAATTTGGGCCTCGAGCTATAAAGAGTTCGAGTGATGATCAAATCACTATCATTAAGGCATATTGTAGTTATTATACTCCTTATAGGACTCCCAACACCTCTTGATTTGAGAAGTAGTTGTCTCGTGATTATGGTTGTCTTCTTAGAGCGGTTTTATGCCAAAAGATGTGGTGTGGAAATGCACGAGACATTTGAACACACACGAATGAATTAGATTATATGATGGCAATGAGAAAGCATCAATCAATTAGACTCGGATCATGAAAGTGACTCCCATTCATCCATTTTACCAATCTAAAATGCCATGGCATTTGGATTCCAAAATACGCATAATAAAATTCATCCCTAACCTTCTTGGGTCCGACTATTTTCATGGGGCAGTTTTGAAACCTCGGACGTTTTTTCAAAATATCGGATCCTTTTCTAACACCCAAGTTGTTGTTGGCATAGTCTATGAATAGCGCTGCAGTGGAACTTACATTGATATGCCGATGCGTGTTCAACTTCAGCACGTTCGGCAACTGCTCGCAGTAACGGTAATTCATGTCGGCATCTTGCACGTCGACCAACACCAGGTCGATGTAATTATTTGTGGGCAGCCCGCTGCAGTTGCCTGTCTCCGTGTCCTTTAAGGTGCCCGGCGCGTTTGTGTTACACGGAACCCCGTTAATGGATGTCTCGGAACAAGTGTTCTTCATCCATGGCCATCTCTGAAAAGGAGGCACTCAACAAGGGGGACAAAGGATGAAACACCTACATGGAGCATAGAAAACTAAACTCCAGGTGTACCATAAAGGACAAATGTATACGGGGCTGGCTGGCTCACTCATGCTCATACATATGGTTTCACTCTTACGCAATCCAAAAGAAGTGAGACGACAAACACAGCTCGAGTGAATTTTATTCATTTTTAAGGTGGCTAGAAAATCCGCGAGTCGATGTATATGGGGAATGGTGTGAGCAAGACGAGGACACCACTCACCTGCTGAAACACGGCAGTGCTGTAGTACTTGGCTCGCATGCGGTCCCAGTAGTTGCTAACAGACTACCGAGTTGTCTTATAAGGGGTACATAACCCACCTGCTGAAACACGGCAGTGCTGTAGTACTTGGCTCGCATGCGGTCCCAGTAGTTGCCCGGGTCCTTGAGGCAATTGCAGATGGTGGCAGTGAGGCACGCGCACCACCCCGGCGTGCCCTCCGTGCCCTTCATCACCACGTGCTGAATGAGGTTCCTGTAAGGAGAAGAGAGGGCAAAAGTGCCACAGAAAGTCACGCAGTAGATTTTGAAGGAGACAGAGTGGCAGTGAGGCACGTGCACCACCCGCGCGTGCCCTCTGTACCCTTCATCACCACATGGAAGATGCTTTTCCTGAGGAGGGGGCAAAAGGGGCAGGGGAACAAGGGATGGGAAGCGCAGGACACAGACAGGGCAACACAATGCCAGGCCAATGCCATTCATCACCACATGGGAGATGCTGTTTCTGAGAGGGGTGAGGCAAGGGCAATCGGGAGGAGGAACATATGTGTGTGTTTACCCTTGGCTGCCTTCACTTGGCATTAAGTTGTCAAAATCCAGTATCCCCGAAGCGCGGAGAAACAACACGAAATATAACCCTCAGTTGTAGATTCACGGCTGAAATAATGACAACAGAAATATGGAAATCACTTGTGAGAATTCTCAAAAGTGATTCTAAAAAACGAGATTTCTCAAAAGTGATTTCCATGGAATCCAACCCTCAGTTACAAATGCATGACTGAAGTAATGACAAGCAGAACGCAGCTCTTGTTTGCAAGCACTCACAATGCTGAGTCGCCAATCCCCATTGCTGACTCAACGATTCCTACCGCTGACTCACCATTTCCCGTTGTTAACCTTCATGCCATCCACCGTCCCGATACAAGCCCCTCCGCGTATAGTCACACCCGAGCTGGCATAGTCCAGGTAGTAGCAGTGGTCACCCCCGATTATGTAGTTGCACTCCGCCAAATTACCCGGGTTATTCCAGTGCGTTACGTAGTATATCCCTGTCGCGTCACCACCCCCTGTCAGGTTCCGGCCCTTGGCCACAACAAGGTTGTTTGAGATTGAAGTTAGCATGCAATCGCCCTGTGAGGGGATGGAATGGGGTTTCGAGAGATTGAGATGGTTTTGTGGTATGGTGACTAAGGTTTTGCATGCACGCCAAACATGCTCGTGAATCCTCACAAGTCTCTTGCACTTTCCCCATACCTTCCTCGCACCTTCCTCACACCTTCCTAGCAGCTTCTCCCACCTGCGAATGCACCATGTTGCCACACCCGATGGCAGCCCACACACAGTCATGCACGTGGTTGTTCGCACCTTCCCATGCCTCCATTGCAACTTCCTCGCGTCTTCCTTGCACCTTCTAAGCAACTTCTCTCACCTGTGAGTGCACCATGTTGCCACACACGATGGCGGCCCACACATAGTCATGCACGTAGTTGTTTTTAAACACTGCTCCCACCACTCCCAACTGAAACATCACTGGCAGGTAGGCGCCTGGGAGGAGAAGGGTGGAGAGGGGTGGAAAGGTGTGAACAGGAGTGCTAGAGTGCACAGGGTGATGGCAGCCCACACATAGTCATGCACATAGTTGTTCTTAAAGACTGCTCCCACCACTCCCAACTGGAACATAACTGGCAGGTAGGCGCCTGGGAGATGGTTAGACACAGGTGGAAATGGGTGGAAATGGAGTGCACGTGGTTGCTCTTGAACACTGCTCACACCACTCCCAACTGAAACATAACCGGTAAGTAGGCGCCTGTGGGGAGAGGGATGGAGAGGGGTGGAAAGGTGTGAACGGGAGTGCTAGAGTGCACAGAGGGATGGCAGCCCACACGTAGTCGTGCACATGGTTGTTTCTAAAGACTGCTCCCACCACCCCAAACTGGAACGGCACAGGCAGGTAAGCGACTGAGAGGAAGGAGCGTAGAGGAATGAAAAAGGGTAGACAGGGATTGGGAGGGGTTGAGAGGGGTGGAAAGAGGTGGAGGGGGGTCATACGGTGCACAGAAGTATGGCAGCCCACACATAGTCATGCACGTGGTTGTTCTTCAACCCTGCTCCCACCACCCCAAACTGAAACATCACTGGCAAGTAGGACTCTGGAAAAGAGGTGGAGAGACAGTAGGGGTGCAGAGGGGTGGAGAGGGTTGTTTAGTGAACAGGAAGTTTGTACAGCAGCTCAGGCATAGTCATTCACGTGGTTGTTCTTGAACACTGCCCCCACCACTCCCAGCTGAAACATCACTGGTAGGTACGCGCCTGGAATATCACAGGCAGGTAGTCAGGCACCTGGCGGAAGAGAAACAGAGACGGGAAGGGTGGAATGAGGTGGAGAGGGGTGCTAGGGTGCAGAGAGTAATGGCAGCCCAAACCAGAGCATACCACATGCAGCTTGACCGTACCACACCACACCACATCGCACCACACCACACCACACCACACCGCACCACACCACACCATACAACGCCATGTTGTATACTCAAATCCACCCACCGTAGATCTCATTATTGGTGATGTAGACGTATGCACGCACCAGCAGTGGCCCATACCCCGACAGTGGTGGCAAGCAAGAGATACCACGTTGCACCTCACCGCACCACACCCCACCCCACACAACAGGAACCCATCGTACCATAGATCTCATTGTTGGTGATGTAGACGTATGCGCGCACCAGCAGCGGCCCATACCCCGACAGCATCACTCGGATCACTCCGTTGCCCCGCTTAAAATCCGACACTCCTGTCATCCTCATACTGTCGATGCGGCTGTGCATCGTTCGCACCACGTCCACGCGGCCGAAGGTGTAACCCTGAGATGGATGGGGTGGAAGAGGGCGAAGAGCCTTGTGAGTCTCTTGACGTCCGACACGCCTGTTGTCCCCATGCTGTCGATGCGGCTGTGCATCGTGCGAATCACGTCCATCCGGCCGAGCGTGTAGCCCTGGGGGAAGGAGGAGGGGGAGCAAGCCCGAATCTGTCTGCCAGTTGCCCCTCAAGTCCAATACGGGCAACTGTTAGTTAGTCAGTCATTCCCATGATGCGACGAGCCACGTCCACACGATCGAATGCGTAGCTCTGGGCATGGGGGGGGCATGGGGGGGCATGGGGGGCATGGGGGGCATGGAGGGCTACTCTCGAGAAGTAACTCCAACCCTGTGTCTATCGGGTGTCTATCAGGTGTCTATCGGGTGTCCATCAGGTGTCTATCGGGTGTCTATCGGGTGTCTATCGGGGCAGGTGGAGCACAGAAGAGGACTTGCATAAACGATAGACGCAGGAGGTTGGTGCACAGACGCAGGTTTGCTTAAAGGAAGACTCACCTTTACGATCTGAGCATGTGGGAGCAGTAGATGTGAATGAGAGGGTACACATTCTGATTCCCCTGAACCACTACCAGCCTTTGTACTCACTACAAGCAGACTCACCTTGACGATCTGAACACCGTAGGAGCGGTAAACGTGGATGAGAGGGCAGATGATGTCTGTTCCCACGTCAGGGATCTCCCCGGGGCACGCTTGTGAGTAGGCTCGGAACGGCTGTGACATCTGAATGTGGGGGATGGTGGGGGGGGCAATAGAGAGGGGAGGGGAGAGGAGAGGGTGCGTAGGCTCGGAATGGCTGCGACATCTGTGATGGTCGAGAGGGGTGGGGGACGGTGGCGTTGTGGGGACGAGAAGGAGGGTGTGGGGAAGGAGAAGAGAAGGAGGAGGTGTGTGTGAAGAGTGCGGCACAAGGTTGAGTAGGGGCGGAATGGCTGCAACATAGGGGGGTTGAGATGTTCTCTCCGTGTTACGGCACACAGCACCACACAGCACCACACAGCACCACACAGCACCACACAGCACAGCACAGCATCCCTCTCACCTCACCAGCACGCGGTACACAACCACGTTGCAGGTGTTCCACACTCACATACAGCCGATACCCCCTCCCTCTGTTACCCTACCCAGATACCACTGCACCGGGGCACCCGGGCACCGCGCAGGACAACACAGCACCATAGAGCACCGCACAGCACCATACCTCACCTGCACGCGGTACACAATCACGTCGCCGGTGTTCCATAAACGGAGTAATAGCTCATCCACCCGATGCACGTACAGCCGATACCCCCTCCCTCTGTTGCCCTACCCAGATACCACTGCACACAGCACCTCACGCTGCAGCACTGCCCAGCACCACACAACACCACACAGCACCACACAGCACCGCACAGCACCGCACAGCACCGCTCTCAACCCACCTGCACGTGATACACTATAACATTGCTGGTGTTCCATATACGCAGTATCGGCTCATCCACCCGATGCACGTACAGCCGATACCCCCTCCCTTTGGCCCCGCCTCCCGATCGCAGCACTGTGCACGCGTACTTTGGGCCGAACAGCAGCCCTCTTTTCAGAGTGACGTGGTTCTGAAGCTCCAAAATGACCGTGGTGGAGGGAGGGTATCGCCTGCGCTTGATGAAATCTGCTTCGCTGGTCACTGGGATCACCACGGCTGAGGCCAGGGGGGAGCACGCTGATCCTGAAAAAGGGGGGTTGGGAGGAGGGGTGCGGAGAGATGTGAGTAGAACCAAGAAAGGTCACTCAACAGCAGCACGATGCACGCATACTTGGGGCCGAACAGCAGCCCTCTCTTGAGAGTGACGTGGTTCTGAAGCTCTAATATTACTGTTGTGGACGGGGGGTAGAGCCTGCGCTTGATGAAATCTGCTTCGGTGGTCACTTGAATCACCACGGCTGTGGCCAGGGGGGTGCATGCCGACCCTGCTGCGTGAGAAGAAGGAGGGGGGTTGGTGGAGGGAGGGTAGAGCCTGAGCTTGAAGAAATCTGCTTCGGTGGTCACAGGGATTAGCACGGCTGAGGCGAGGGGGGAGCACGCGGACCCTGCTGCAAGGGGGGTTGGGGGGAAGAGGGGAGGAGGAGGCAGGCAGGAGGAAGAGTGAGGCAGACGGAATGTGCAGCGAACACAGGTTTGAAGCTGCGTGATTATTCTGAAGCTCCAGGTCACTGGGATTAGCAGCACGGCTGAGGCCAGGGGGGAGCACGCTGATTCTGCTGCACAAGGGGAGGGAGCAGAGGGGAGGGAGGAAGGGAGAGGAGGGGACGACAGGGGTGGCATGTCAAGAGAAAGGGGAAGAGGAGGCAGGCAGCAGGGCGAGTGAGGCAGAGGGGATGTGGTGAATAGCAGAGCATGTGCCACGTCAGCATTGAGTAGCCGCTGCGAACAAGCCTCACGGCCCTCACCTTGCTTTATGCTATCATTAGCAGCGGACACCAAAGCATAGCCAGCAGCAGCCGAGGGAGGTTCGGGAGCAAGCAACGCTGCAGGTACGGCAAGAGCATCCTGCGCCAGGGACTCCTCCAACCAGGCCATCGTTGCAGGCTCGGACCGAACCTGCTGCCTCAGCCACGGATTCATCCACTCCTGAGGCTCGGCCCATCGCCGCAGAGATTGTGACTGTGACTGTGGTTGTAGTTGTGATTGTGACTGTGCCTGTGCGCGGTGTGACAGTAGCGAAGGTGACTCTGACTGTGTTTGTATTCTCACAAATTGTGGACTGTCCGTATCGGTTCTGTAATCATCCCCGTTTGAGTATGAACTCGCTGATTCGGTAGAAGCAGTTATATTGCGATGCCAAACACTAGTGCTCTGATGCAGGTGGTACAGCAACGAGTGGCCAGATGGTTCGTGAAATGCGCTCCTGTGCCCTGGGATAAGGGGGTGCAGGGAGACAGAGATTGACGCAATGAATAGTGGAGGAATGTTTTTGAGACGCCTAAAAAACACCCTCATTTCACGTGTTTTTGAGACGCCTCAAAAGTACAGCGACGAGTGGCGGGATCGGTCATGGAAGGTGCTTCTTTGCCCTGGGATAAGGGGGTGCAGGGAGACAGATATTGGCGGAATGAATAGTAGAGGAAGCAAGGACGTGAAGGAAGTGTTTCGTGAGCCGACTCATATTGCGCGCTCCTGTGCCCTGGGATAGGAGGGGCAGGGACAGAAGGCGTGAAGGAATGAAGAAAAGGGGACGCAAGGAAATGAGGGGGGTAAGCGGGGAAGGCGAGACGTTCTAGACGACTCAAAATTGGTTGAGTATATTAGTAGCAAGTGGCGCCAGAACAAGCACGAATCATGTGGTAACCAGATCGAGTATCCAGGCGATGACTGACACCACAATCTGGACGTTCACCTGCGCCTCGAACGAGGATCAGCAAAGAGAGAGAGAGGCAGAGGGAGCGAAATGATCAGGAAACTTTGCCGCACCAGCACAGCACGACATGGCCTCTCACCTGCGGCTCGGACGGGCAGCAGGAGCGGCGGTTCAAGACGGACGGAGGAGGCGGACAGCACGATGCTGAGGATGAGCGCTTTATAAGGAGAACTATTTATGTATGTCTGCATAATGCTTGACGAGGCCGATCCCACTCCTCGCAGTGACAGTCCCCACCGTCTCTGCCTCGTCTTTTTCAGAAAAGGCTGCATTATATCTCTATTTTTTAGTCGAACCAAATCATATCTCACGAACCGGACCTCGCGAATCCTTGCGTTTCATTGAGAGCTCCTTAACGATTAGGCTCAGACACAACGACGGCCTACAGAGAACCTCGCTGAATGTACGTCCAACACAATTTTAGCATGATGTGGGTATCACGGTTGTCTTGCACTAGAATAGAGTTAACGGCTACCAGTCGTATGGTGAAAACGGCCTGTAACGCTGACAGAATCAGTCTACTCTCGGTAGTATATTCGTCGGCCTTCTTTGTCCATGCTAATGAGAAGGATGAGTGCGGTGATCACCACACAGTCGAGTTCGCCCTACCGTTGGGAAAGGCTGGCATATGAGTGGTATTGGAGGGCTCACGCTGAGTTTAGGATGCAAGAAAGAGCAACAGAAGAGAACAGAGTTCATGGTAGCTACGAAGAATAGCGGAGCGGGGAAATTGAAAGGAATGTTGGGTGGGTGGGGAAAGAGTTGGGTTTCAGATAGGGAGGATGCATTTTGTGTACCTGTAATTAGGGTTGGACCATAAGTAGCAATCAGAGGGTGTTACATTTGCGCTAGTTCGTAGCTGGTCCGCAGCGGCCCAAGCCGACCCTGCGCGGCCCGGCAACCCAAGCTGCGGACCAGCCACGGACCAGGTGTGGACCCGACTTGCAACCGCCCACGGACAGCATGTACAGTGCGAGGCGCACGTGCGAAAACGACGCTCGACACGCAGGGCCATTTCCAGAGCGACCCAAGGCGATGTGAATCACATGCGAAAACTGCACTATATTTCTTTCGCCAAAATACTCCGCCGGTTGGGATTGCTCGTTCAAGCGTGACCAAGAACACTTGTGTTCTCGTTAACAGTTCGTTTTTGGACCTCAATGCGCTGCACATAGCTGCTCCGCCGCAAATGGTCCCCATTACCACGCGGGTACCAGGTGGGTACCACTTTTGTAAGTGGTCCCTGTAAAATGGTACCCCCTTGTATTTGCTGGTCCATTTCCTTGTAAATGGACCAGCGCGAAATGTAACACCCCCTCAGTCACAGGGCGTCTCCTCTCCGCTCCGCTCCACGCGAAGCACCAGTGCCCCCCCGCTTTATGGCGGCTGAAGGTCAGACGGATAGAACCTTGGGATTCTCTCCGGTAAACCTGAAGTTACCGAGACCGTGCGAGTTTCGTACGTGAGGGAAGACAAGGCTGTCGATTGCAGTACGCGAAATAATGTTATATTTCGTCCTGGTTTTGCTTGCACGTACGATGCAAAGCGAAACGCTTTTCGCGTGGTTCTATTTTCGTGAACCGTCTGCCCGCAATCGGCGACTCCACAACTTTCGCCACAACGAAGCGCGACGTGGTGGAGACATGCTTTTCCAACCAAGTTGCCCAGCCTAGTTGCAGCGCTCCTCCCCCACAAGAAGGGTACAGTAAACGCTGGGCACAGCACGGCACGGGCTGGATAAACGAAAGCGCGTGGCCTGCTCAAATCAAATCGTTCGGGCAAACCGCCAAGCGTCTCCAAAGGAATCCCACCGAATTCTGCCCAAGCCGGAAGGAACCACGTCAAACCACCAATGAATGGTGTGGGCGGTAGAGAAACTGTTCAGCGCGGTGCGCTGGTTGACCCCCAAATCATCCCCTAAAGTGGTGGAGGGCTTCGGTTTATTTTTTTTTATTTATTTATTTATTTATTTTTAATATACATATATATATATATAATGAACCATCTTGAGCAATTCTACTACAGCAATTGTGGAGATCAACTACTATAACCAAGATAGCTGTTACACCACTCTTCCTTTGATAGCTGGAACAATCTTCATTCCAAATGAAACAGAGCTAGCGCCACATGGTAATCTGAGGCTCATGGAAGCCGTGGAAACTTTGAAAAATCCGGCGCACACCCGCTCAAATACGACTCGCGGCCTTCAACTGCTTCTGGAGTGTTGTAGAAAATCAGCGTTGCATTTCCAGCCAGCTCCTACTCAAAAGAAGCGGGTAGCGAAGAAAGCAAGCAGGTTTGCATAACACAGAAGAATCATGTGGCACATGGCACATCACTTTATGGCATGTGCATGATACACCAAGTGCATGCTATACGCATGCACATGCTTACATGCACCTCTACCCGCCTACACGCCAGCGCAGAACACATCACCCACAGCCCACCTGCAAGCCAGCAGTGCCGTCGTCCACCGCATTAATCGCCGACTTGAGCACCCTCAGAGCCGTGGGGCTATTCCTTAGGATCTCACGGCACCACTTCACTGTCTCCTGCTCCAGACTCGCCAGCTGACAATTCACGTGTGGGGGAGGGCAGACAATTAAAAGGGACAAGGTGAGCACCCTCAGAGCCGTGGGGCTGTTCCTTATGATCTCGCGGCACCACTTTACCATCTCCTGCTCCAGACTCGCCAGCTGATGTGAGGGAAGAGAAGGCAAAGTTAGGAAAACAGGGAAGGGAACGAAAGTGAGCATGCTTAGTCTCCTGGGTGTCTGTTCCTCAGGATCTCCCAACACCACTCCACCGTCTCCTGCTCCAGAATCGCCAGCTGATGTGAGAGAGGCAGACAGAAATGGGGAGGCAGGGAATGGATACATCGTGAGCATGCGTCGTCACCTGGGTGTCTGTTCCTCAGGATCTCCCAACACCACTCCACCATCTCTGCTTCCATATTCGCCAGCTGGCAACCCGGATTGAACATGCAGGAGAGGAAGACAGAAGTACAAGGACAGGGAAAGGAACAGAAGTGCTTACGATACGAGCATGCACAGAACTCAGTAGTGACCTTGTGAGACGCACACGGTATCAACAGCACTCACCGGCACAACGGTGTTGATGAGCCCCATGTCAAGAGCCTGGGCGGCGGTGTAGTGCCTGGCGAGGAACCAGATCTCCCTTGCCTTCTTGACTGCTGCTGCCTAGCAAGACACACCCGTACACACACCAACAATAACACCAACAGTACACTCACTGGACCAACAGCACTCACCGGCACAATGGTGTTGATGAGTCCCATGTCAAGAGCCTGTGCGGCCGTGTAGTGCCTGGCGAGGAACCAGATCTCCCTCGCCTTCTTGGGGCCCACGAGGCGAGACATGATGGAACAGCCATACCCAGCGTCGAAGCTGCCCACCTGGATAGGCGAGGGGCAAATAGTGCAGAGAAACGATCAACAAACAACAATCAACAATCAGGAACGAAGCACACAGCAAGCCACGAGGCGAGACATGATGGAGTAGCCGTGCCGTACCCTGCATCGAAGCTGCCCACCTGGGAGGGGCGAAGGGTAAAAAATGCAGAGAAACGATCAGCAAACAAGCACACAGGAAGCCACCAGGCGAGACATGATGGAACAGCCGTACCCTGCATCAAAGCTGCCCACCTGGGAGGGGCGAAGGGCAAATAGTGTGAATCGTGATGGAGCATTGGTCAGGGGGGAGAGCCATCTTGGGGCCCACCAGGCGAGACATTATAGAGCTGCCGTACCCAAGACGAGCTCCCTGTCAAAGCTGCCCATCTGGACGGGGAGAAGGGCAGATAGAGTAGGGCGACGAGCAACAGCAACAGGGGGGCATAGCCGCATAGGTGGGGGTCAGACGATGATGCAGATAGTGCAAGCCACAATGCGAGACAGGAAAGAGCAGCCGTTCCCTGTATCGAAGCTGCGAGGGTAACTTGGGCATGCCTTGGGAGGCGCAAACAGACAATTTTAACAAGCCCCTCCCTCCATTTCAACCCTACCCTCACTTTCAACCCCTCCCTCACTTTCAGCCTCTTCCTCACTTTCAGCCCCTGCCTCACCTTCACCCCCTCCTCACGGCGTTGTCAGCAGCAACGGTGATGTCACACACCAGATGCAGCACATGCCCTCCTCCTATGGCGTACTCTCTGCCCCTGCTGTACCTTCAGCCCTGTCCTGCTGTACCTTCAGCCCCAGTCCCACCGTGGACCCTGGCCCACCCTCTGCCCCCGCCTCACGTTGGGGTACCCCCGCCCTCACCTTGGGCCCTGTCTGGCCGAACACAGCGTTGTCAGCAGCAATGGTGATGTCACACACCAGATGCAGCACGTGGCCTCCCCCTATGGCGTACCCTGCGGCCCCTGCCCCGCCTTCAGCTCCTGACCTGCCCCACTTCTAGCCTCTTAGCCCTACCCCACCCTCATCCCCCCTGTCACCTTGGGCCCCGTCTGGCCGAACACAGCGTTGTCAGCAGCAATGGTGATGTCGCACACCAGATGCAGCACATGTCCCCCGCCTATGGCGTACCCTGCCACCTGCAGGGGGAGCGAGGGAGAGCAGTAAGAGAAGATGCAGCACACAGAGCATGAAGCACATTCTGTAAGAATCACAGGCGATGGTGGTGTCACACACCAGGTGCAGCACGTGCAGCACGTGCATAGGACAGACTTCAGTAATCAGAAAACAGTTGACTTACCATGGCAATGACTGGCTTGGGAGTTCGCCGGATTTGAACCTGCAGTGACACGAGTGGTAGAGGCAGGAAGTGGGGGAGGAGGGAGTGCAACTTTCAATATGATCGGATTGAGAAGGGGAAGGAGGGGGAAAGGAGGGGGGAAGGAGGTGGGAAGGAAGGGGAAGGAGGTGGGAAGGAGGGGGGAAGGAGGTGGGAAGGAAGGAGAAGGAGGTGGGAAGGAGGTGGGAAGGAGGGGGGAAGGAGGTGGGAAGGAAGGGGAAGGAGGTGGGAAGGAGGGGGGAAGGAGGTGGGAAGGAAGGAGAAGGAGGTGGGAAGGAGGGGGGAAGGAGGGGGGAAGGAGGGGGGAAGGAAGGGAGAAGGCAATGACTCCAAGATAGGGCGGAGTGAGAGGTGTCTGAAATGAAAGCATTTCGCCTCTTCTCTCCCCCCCCAAACCCCCATCCCCCCCAACCCAACCCCCCGTTCCGCCTTCCGCCTTACGCGTCACCACTAACACACACTTGCAATGCAAGTCCAGCACGTTGAGTCAGGGCACCTGGTCGCCCCGCACATACACATGAACTCAATACCTCTGTCCTAACCCCTCCTCTTGAGTCGACACAAAAGTCGATTCTTCCCCTCCCCACCCTCTCCCCTGAAAAGCACACACACCCGCAGGTCCAGCACGTTCAGTCGAGGCACCTGGTCGTCCCCCACATACACATGAACTCAATACCTCTGTCCTAGTAGTAACCCCTTCTCCCCTCCCATGTTTCACCTCTCCGCCTGTTCCCCTCCCCTGAAAAGCACACCTGCAAGTCCAGCACGTTCAGTCGAGGCACCTGATCGCCCCCCACGTATCCGTGCTTGCCCCTCACGGCCTGGTCGCCCCCGCTGCAGAACGACAGATCGCCCTGAGAGAGACAGTGGGGGGCGAGTAAGAGAGAGAAGATAATCCATGAGTTGCTTGAGTTCACACCTCACCTCACCGTGCCTGTACTGAACCTCACCTTGCCTGAGTTCACATCTCACCTTTTGAGTCGACTCAAAAGCAGACTCATTACAAGCGGTTTTGAGGCGACTCAAAAGGGGGAGAGAAATAGAGAGAAGACAGTCCACGAGTTGCCTGAGTTCACACCTCACCGTGCCTCTGCTGGAACCTCACCTTGCCTAGGTTCACATCTCACCTTCGCCTGGTGTTAGAGTCCCACCTTGCCTGTGAAGATGATAACTCCAACGGTCACATCGTCCCTCGCAGCATCGAACGCGCGCTTCAGCTCCTTGACCGTTTCCGGCCGGAACGCGTTCCTCCTCTCGGGTCGGTTGATCGTGATCTGACGGTCAGGATTGCAGGAGGGGGGTCGGGCCGCATTTCAGGCAATTCCTTTAATCGACAATTGGCGATTCCTTTTCAAAGTATTATCCACTGTGGCACTGCCTTCACGAATGCACGTCCCTTGCTATACAATTTTCCTAAGGAGTGCAGCACATCGGTTATACCTTGGCGATGCCCTCTCCAACAGCCGTTTCATAAAGCACGTCTTGGAGCGGAGGCCCGTCAATGCGACCCGGCCGCCACACGACGGGCGCGCTCGACACCTCGCCGTGCATTAACGCGTACTTAGACGGCTTTCCCGTGGCCGATGCATACACGCCGGTCGCACCGCTGTTCGCGCTGCGACCACTGCTGCTGCTGCAGGGTTGCAGGTTCAGCTGGGAATCATTATAAGCAGCTTCATTATTGGTGGTCTCCGGAGGGGTGGAATAGGCGGGTGCGATATGGCGACCGTAAACCTGAAGTCGCCGCAGCGCTTGATCGTGATCCATGGTTACGTCAGGGCTCAACCTAGCAGCCGCAGGGGAAATGACGTGCAATGCGACCAAACGGAGCAGAAGCAGATGAATTCTGCACGAACGCGAAAGGCGTAGGAGTTTCAGGCGAATACGGAATAATCTGCTGCTTTGGCAAGGTGCAAGGAAATCCGTGAGGACGAATTTCCGGATAAGGTCGGTTGCCTGCTGGATAAGCGACATGAGGTCTGGTGATTCCCGAGGGGAACCAGATGGTTTCTCCGCGGTTCTTGCTTGTTCTGACGGGTTTTCGTTCGGTTGGCTAGGCTGGGCTGTGCAAATGGTTGGGATTGGTCGAACTCGAATTGGGACGGAACTGTTGTCAAGGAGACGCGAGCGGAGGCGCACTGTGTCCTCTTCCTAAATTCTAAGCCAGAAGGGTCTGGCGAGCCTGGGACCACACTCTCCTGTAACCTCTAAAGGCAGACGCGCTTCAACTTAGAGTAAGGAGACTATATTACAAAACAGGAATAGAAACACCACATTTTGATCCATTCCGGCGCATAAATATTCAAAATATATTGATTAAAACCATAATACGGGAAATATGAAATATTTTCCGAAGAATACTTTACTCGCTAAAATGAAATCATTTTTTTAATTTATGTATCTGAAATCGTTGTATGTAGTTTTGCAATATTCTGGCTTCGCTGCTCGAGCCCCAGGGGGCGGTGTCGAGGATCAGGTTCGATCACCTTCGAAATCATCCTAAAAACGAGGTTAGAGACGTTTCAGTAGGGTTCAGAGCATTGTTAGTGTGGCTCAAGTGCTTAGGCGACTTGATCTGGAGCTTTGAATCTCGAGATTGCCACCACGCAATTCCATTCAAATCGAACGGCTACTTGTGGTTCAGCCTAAGCGGTGTTTCAGTGCCGGCAGATTAGCTGCTTTCTGCCAGGGATACTGACATGGTCGCACGACGCAGCACATTCTTATCTCGCGGAAGACCTCCCCCTTAGGACTGCTCTCATGCGGTTAGCCCCTCAGGGAAGGCTCGATATCGTGTCTCTCGCCTGTTGTCTTGAAAGTACCACGATCGTACTTCTTATCCACAATATCTGAGTTTCATGCAGTGAAGCAAGATCGTCTCAACGTTTTGGCGACTCGATCTGATTAACAGCGTATTCTGGTTGAGCGATAGCGTTGAGCTCAGGATTTGAGCACCGTCGAAATCCGTTGAGCAGCCATGGCGGATTTGAACCAGGAGTCGCTGCTGGCGCACAAGCGCACGTTCATGGAGTTCCTCGACCCCGAGGTGCGAAACTGTTACCGTCGGTGTTACGTCGATACAGCGAGGCGTCTTATAACGAATAAAATGTCATGGACTTTCTCGCCCCAGAGGTGCAAAACAGTTCCCTTTTTAAATAAAAAAAATATTAGTAATAGTTTCCGTCTGTACAACGATGTTTTTAGGCGCCGTGTAACGAGTAGCAGCTCATGGCTTTTCTCTCTCTCTTTTTTGAGTCGACAATATACGCCTTTCTGGGGCATCACGTACCAAGTAGCAGCGCATGAGGTTTCTCGATCCCGAGGTACGTCGAGGTTGCGGTGTGTGTGCTAATTCCTCTTAAAATGTCCCATTATGCGTCATGGGTAGTCTTTTTGAGTTATTTTCCGATCTTTATGATCATTCCCCCCCACCCTCCCTGCAACTCCCTCTTATCCCCGCCCTCCTCCCTTCAGAACCCCAAGTCGCGCTACATGCAGCGAATCAGCGCCATGGTGGACGCGGACAAGCACCGCCTCCTCATTGACCTCTCGGACCTCCGATCCTTTGACCCGCACCTCGCCCGCAGGTACGGTTGCCTGTCGGACCTGGCGTACAGGCTCGGGTGAGAGTGGTTGCAATGTGCAGAGTTGTTTGACAATGTGTTTGAGAAAGGATGGAATGTTTCAGAGCTGCAGTGGTTAATGTTTCCCCCATCGATGTGCTATGCTTATGTTCACCCCACATGAGCTGTCACAGACTGTCTGTGAATTGTCAGGTCAGGACATCTTTTAGGATCACGGTCTCAAGAATTGAATGATGATCTGAAAAGTATCGCTGTTTCCATCCATCTTCCCGTTTCCTGACCTTCTGTTCCCTGTCCTCCTTCCCTTTCCCTTCCTCTTCTCAGGCTCATCCGCACGCCAGGCGAGCTGTACCCAGCGCTGGTGAGCGCAGTGGAGGATGCAGTGAAGCTGGCGCACCCCAAGCACCTGCTCGAGTCCGCAGCCACAGGCGTGGGGGGAGGCGAAGTGAGCGTGGGGTTTGAGGGGCCGTTTGGGTTCCACCAGCTATCCCCTCGCGAGCTGCTCTCGCCCTTCCTCAACTCGCTTGTCTGCGTGCATGGCATCGTCACCAAGTGTGAGTGCGGTTACCAGTGCGTGAGTGGGGTTGCTAGTGTATGGGTGTGCAGTTACCAGTGTGTGACAGTAGCAGAAGTCGCAGTGCGCATGACACACCCCAAGCACAGGCACAGGCGTGGGGGGGGACGAATTGAGCGTGGGGTTTGAGGGGCTGTTTGGATTCCAGCAGCTGTCCAGCAGCTGTCCAGCAGCTGTCCACCAGCTGTCCACCCTGTCTCGCCCTTCCTCAACTCGCTCGTCTGCGTGCATGGCATTGTCACCAAGTGTGAGTGCTGTGCTGCCACTCTCCCTGCTGCCGTGCCCCTGCTGCCCTGTCGCTGCTGCCCTGTCGCTGGTGTAGGTTGTTTTTTAGAAATCTCCAAAACAACCTACAACGCCCCAAGGTGATGCGCAGTGTGCACTACTGCTCTGCCATGGGGGCATTCCACTCCCTCCCTGCCACTGCTGCCCTGCCACTATGGTTGCATCTCATATTCCCCTCCCTCCATCCACTCCTCCCTCACTCCCCCCACCTTCCTGCCCCGCAGGCTCCTCCGTGCGTCCCAAGGTGGTGCGCAGTGTGCACTACTGCCCAAACACGGGGGCCTTTTCGTCTCGGGAATATCGAGATGTCACTGCACTCACTGGACTGCCAACACCTGCCATCTACCCCACCAAGGTGCGTGACGCTGCGTCTATGACAGTTAATTGTAGTGAGGTGAGGTGACTTTGTCACGAAGGCCTTTTCTTCTCGGGAATGTCGAGATGTCACTGTGCTCACTGGCCTGCCTACACCTGCCATCTACCCCACCAAGGTGGGTTGTGATGCGTGTGTGGAGGTAAGGCAGGTGAGATGACTTCAGAATGAGGCGACTCTTCTTGGGTGTGCACCCATGTCACTACCCTCACAGGCCTGCCCACGCCCGCCATCTTCTTCACCAAGGTGAGCTGAAGCTGTGCCGTATCGACTACCATGCATGTCAGGGCGACAAGAGCAACGACCTATTGATGGATTTTAGGCTGAGAACGCCCTTCCTGCCCTTGCACCCCTTGCTCGTTTTCCTCTGAACTCCCCACTCACACCAGGACGACAAAGGCAACATCCTTGTTACAGAGTTTGGCCTGTGCCGATACCGCGACCACCAGGCGATGACGATGCAGGAGATGCCTGAGAACCCCCCAGCAGGGCAGCTGCCGCGGTCACTGGACGTGCTGCTGGAGGACGACCAAGGCAACACCATCCTTCAGTGTGGAGTGCAGGAAACGCCTGAGCACTCATTGCTTGCTCCCCTTTACAACTTGCTCCTTCCTTTCAGGACGATAAGGGCAACATTCTAGTCACAGAATTCGGTCTGTGCCGCTACCGCGACCACCAGGCGATGGCGATGCAGGAGATGCCTGAGAACGCCCCAGCAGGGCAGCTGCCGCGGTCCCTGGACGTGCTGCTAGAGGACGACCTGGTGGATGCATGCAAGCCGGGGGACCGCGTGGCAATAGTGGGCATCTACAAGGCTGCTCCCATGCGCGCCACCGGCACCATCAGCGGCACGTTTCGGTGGGTTTCATTCTGGGGATACTGGGGATCAGTCTGCAGTTGCTGGGGGGGCAGGATGGGGTGGAGGTTTCCGCCCTTTCTTTGACAGAGGCCTGGCAGGGCAGGGCAGGGCAGGGGAGCGTAGAGCAGGGCAGGGAAGGCAGGGCAGCTGCCGCGGTCCCTGGACGTGCTTCTGGAGGATGATCTGGTGGGTGCATGCAAGCCGGGGGACCGTGTGGCCATAGTGGGCATCCATAAGGCTGCTCCCATGCGCGCTACCGGCACCATCACCTTCGGCACCGGTGCTGGAGGCACCTTCCGGTGGGTCTCGGGGTGGTTGTAAAGTGGGGGCTGCGGATGAGGTTACTAGCAGCACAGTCAGACACGTGGGGGGTGGTGGACGAGTCATTATCTCGACTCGTTGCCCCTCTCTTTCCTCCCCGCCCCCACTCAGGACCGTACTGGTGGCATGCAATGTGATGCAGTTGAGCAAGGATGCTGTAGCCCCTCGAATGACAGCAGCAGATGTGAGGGCAGTGAGGGTGCTGGCAGCACGAACGGACGCGTGGGGGGTGGTGGGGGAGTCGCTGGGAGCAAGCTAGGACAGCACTCATTGCCTCTCTCCCTGCCTCTCTGCCCCAACTCAGGACGGTGCTGGTGGCATGCAACGTGATGCATTTGAGCAAGGATGCAGTGGCACCGAGAATGACAGCAGCAGATGTGAGGGCAGTGAGGGCGCTGGCAGCACGGTCACACGCGTGGGGGGTGGTTAGATCAACTCATTGCCTGCCTCTCTCCCTGCCTCTCCGTCCCCACCACCACCCTTGCAGAACCGTGCTCGTGGCATGCAACGTGATGCAGTTGAGCAAAGACGCAGTTGCTCCCCGAATGACAGCAGCAGATGTGAGGGCAGTGAGGTAGTCTTAACATGGCACCACGCACCTCACCTCTCCCTCCCTCCGCCCTTTCAGAACGGTGCTAGTAGCATGCAATGTGATGCAGCTGAGCAAGGACGCAGTGGCGCCAAGAATGACAGCAGCAGACGTGAGGGCAGTGAGGGCGCTGGCAGCACGATCAGACGCGTGGGGAGTGGTGGGGGAGTCGCTAGCCCCGTCCATCTGTGGCCACGTGTGGGTAAAGAAGGCCCTGGCGCTGCTGCTGCTGGGGGGGGTCGAGAAGAACCTACCTAATGGCACACACATAAGAGGGTGAGTGATTGGCGTTTTTCGTCTTGTCTAGACATTGAGGGCGGTTGAGTTGCTGGCGTGGGTTGTGTTGGTGTGGAGGTGAGGGAATATGTAGAGGCGAGGGGGTATGGCGTGGGGGGTGGTGGGGGAGTCCCTGGCTCCCTCCATCTGTGGGCACGTGTGGGTCAAGAAGGCCCTGGCCCTGCTGCTGCTGGGAGGGGTTGAGAAGAACCTACCTAACGGGACCCACATAAGAGGGTGAGTCGAGTTGTAAGGACACAAATGAGGGGGTGAACGAGTGACGGTTTCTGTATCTCCTATATGTTGAGGGTGGCTGATTCAAGTTGAGGTGAGACATGCTCATAATGGTTGACCCTTCTGAGGCCAAGTCGCAGCTGCCAGGTGTTGCATTGCAACCCTTCCCCCCCCTGCATCTTTTCCCTTCCCCTCCTGCAGCGACGTGAACATGTTGATGATGGGCGATCCCTCAGTGGCCAAGTCGCAGTTGCCTGGTGTTGCCTTGCTTGCAGATAGACCCAACAACCCCTTCCACCTCTCCCCCTTCCCCCTCCCTTCCTCTCCCCTCGCAGCGACGTGAACATGCTAATGATGGGGGATCCCTCAGTGGCCAAGTCGCAGCTGCTTCGAGCCATCATGCACGCTGCCCCCCTCGCCATCTCCACCAACGGGAGGGGCTCGTCAGGCGTGGGTCTGACTGCTGCTGTCACCACCGACCAGGAGACAGGTGGGCTTCTATTGCATGCCTGTTTCTATCTAGGGTCTTCAAGGGATAACTCACCATGCACAGACTACCCTCCTCGCCATCTCCACCAATGGGAGGGGCTCTTAGGGCGTGGGGATGACTGCTGCGGTCACCACAGACCAAGAGACAGGTGGGGTAAAGTCAATCCACAAATCTGTTGTAGGGGTCCTCAAGTGGTAAGGCTCCGAGTTGCAGCTAGCTTAGGGCGTGGGTCTCACTGCTGCTGTCACCACCGACCAGGAGCTATGGTGTTGGTCACCACCATTGCATTCCACAATGGGGCTGGCGGACAGGGGGTGGTGTCCATCAATGAGTCTCACACTGCTCACCGCTTACTGCCTTTCTCGCTCTTCCCTTCTCCTCAGGTTGTGTCTCTCGTTGTGCTCTCTCCCCTTCTGTGCTCACCCTGTTGTGTCTCTCTCCACTCTCTCCCTTCCCTTTACTCCCTCCCATCCAGGTGAAAGGAGGCTGGAAGCAGGAGCAATGGTGCTGGCGGACAGAGGAGTGGTGTGCATTGATGAGTTTGACAAGATGAGCGATGCCGACCGGGTTGCCATCCATGAGGTGAGTGTGGTGGCATGGTGTGGGCGAGCTTGTGGATCCACACCTTCCTCAACGCGGGCTCTCTCTCCCTCCCCCTTCCACCCATCCGCCCTTCCCCCGATCCGCCCTTCCCCCAATCCGCCCTTCCCTCGACCCACCCTTCCCCCAATCCGTCCTTCCCCCGATCCGCCCTTCCCCTCATCTGCCCATCCATCCCCCACCAGGGGATGGAGCAGCAGACAGTCACGATCGCCAAGGCGGGCATCCATGCCTCCCTCAACGCGCTGTCACTCTCTCCCTCGTCCCCTCATCCCCCGTCCCCCCATCCCCCCATCCGCCCATTCCCCCATTCCCCCACCCGCCCGCCAGGGGATGGAGCAGCAGACAGTCACGATCGCCATGGCGGGTATCCATGCCTCCCTCGACGCGCTGTCGCTCTCTCCCTCGTCCCCCCATCCCCCCATCCGCCCATTCCCCCATTCCCCCACCCGCCCGCCAGGGGATGGAGCAGCAGACAGTCACGATCGCCATGGCGGGTATCCATGCCTCCCTCGACGCACTGTCGCTCTCTCCCTCGTCCCCCCATCCCCCCATCCGCCCATTCCCCCATTCCCCCACCCGCCCACCAGGGGATGGAGCAGCAGACAGTCACAATCGCCAAGGCGGGTATCCATGCCTCCCTCGACGCGCTGTCGCTCTCTCCCTCGTCCCCCCATCCCCCCATCTGCCCATTCCCCCATTCCCCCACCCGCCCACCAGGGGATGGAGCAGCAGACAGTCATGATCGCCAAGGCGGGTATCCATGCCTCCCTCGACGCGCTGTCGCTCTCTCCCTCGTCCCCCCATCCCCCCATCCGCCCATTCCCCCATTCCCCCACCCGCCCGCCAGGGGATGGAGCAGCAGACAGTCACGATCGCCATGGCGGGTATCCATGCCTCCCTCGACGCGCTGTCGCTCTCTCCCTCGTCCCCCCATCCCCCCATCCGCCCATTCCCCCATTCCCCCACCCGCCCACCAGGGGATGGAGCAGCAGACAGTCACGATCGCCAAGGCGGGTATCCATGCCTCCCTCGACGCGCTGTCGCTCTCTCCCTCGTCCCCCCATCCCCCCATCTGCCCATTCCCCCATTCCCCCACCCGCCCACCAGGGGATGGAGCAGCAGACAGTCATGATCGCCAAGGCGGGTATCCATGCCTCCCTCGACGCGCTGTCGCTCTCTCCCTCGTCACCCCATCCCCCCATCCGCCCATTCCCCCATTCCCCCACCCGCCCACCAGGGGATGGAGCAGCAGACAGTCACGATCGCCAAGGCGGGTGTCCATGCCTCCCTCGACACGCTGTCGCTCTCTCCCTCGTCCCCCCATCCCCCCATCCGCCCATTCCCCCATTCCCCCACCCGCCCACGAGGGGATGGAGCAGCAGGCGGTCACGATCGCCAAGGCGGGTGTCCACGCGTCCCTCAACGCGCACTTGCTATCTGACAGCATGTGCACTGCTGCTCATCCTGACCATGCTCCCACCGTTTCCCTTTGCTGCTACACTTCCTCATTCCCCCACCAGGTGATGGAGCAGCAGACAGTCACGATCGCCAAGGCGGGCATCCACGCGTCCCTCAACGCTCGCTGCAGCGTGGTTGCCGCAGCAAACCCCATCTACGGATCTGTGAGTGATGCCCCTGTATCTGCCCATCCCCTCTCTGTATGACGTGGCTTTGCGCTCACGTGGTTGACTTATACTCGCCCACCCCCACCCCCACTTCTCCCCGGGTTTCACAGTATAACCGCTCCGTCAATACTCCACACACCCTTCGTCTTGACCCTCCCCATCCCCATTCCCCTCCCCCTCCTCCTCCTCCTCCTCCTCCTCCTCCTCCTCCTCCTCCTCCTCCTCCTCCTCCTCCTCCTCCTCCTCCTCCTCCTCCTCCTCTTCCTCCTCCTTCCTTCCCCATGTGCTGTGCTCGCCCCTCCCCCCTCTCCCCCCTCATCAGTACGACCACTCCATCTCCCCCATGCGCAACATCGGCCTGCCCGACTCGCTTCTCTCGTGTTTCGACCTGCTGTTCATCCTCGTCGACCAGATGGACGCTTTTCAGTCCACTCAAGATTGCAATGTCGGTCGGACTCGTCTCTTGATTCAACTCAAAAGTCAACTCGACTCGCTGTTCCCCCTACCAGCTGCCAGGGCTGAGCCACATCACACTCCCTTCCCCTTCCCTTCTCCGCTTGTGCTGTGCTCTCCCCCTCCCCCCAGTACGACCACTCCATCTCCCCCATGCGCAACATCGGCCTGCCCGACTCGCTGCTCACTCCCCATCTGCAGCATGTGCTGTGCCAGAACTCACTCCCTTCCGCCCCTCACACCCCACCAATCCCCCCCTCCCCCCAGTACGACCACTCCATCAGCCCCATGCGCAACATCGGCCTGCCCGACTCGCTGCTGTCGCGTTTCGATCTGCTCTTCATCCTCGTGGATCAGATGGACGCTGACGTGGACACCCGCATAGCCAATCACGTGCTCCGCATGCACCGCTACCGCCTCCCTGGCGATGATGGCAGTAAGCTGCTCGTTGCTCCTTTCTGCCTGCTGCTCTTGCTCCTTACCCATAGCTTGTGGCCGGCCACTGATCTCAGGGAGGATGAAACTTGCAGGTAGAGAGACGACTTTTGAGGCGCCTCAAAAGGCAGGATGAGGCACCTCTATTGCATTTAGCTGCCTCATTTTGCCAGCATAGCTTATCCCCCCTTACCCTTTATCTCCCTCCCATATTCTCGCAGCGTTAGCCCCAGGGGATATACCCATGGCAGCAACACACGCAGATGAGGAGGACGAGGAAGAAGAGGGGGGAGACGCAGACGGCCCAGATGCTTCTGCTGCTGCAATGGACGGCGAAGATGATGCCAATCCGGCCACTAGCCGGCCTAGGACCAGGAGTGGGGGTAGAGGAGGGGGAGGAGGGGATGGGGGTGGGGGAAGGGGAGGAGGGGGCAGCAGTGGTGCAGCTGATTTGGCGGCGAACTTAGTTAAGTACGATCGCTTACTGCACGGGGAGAGGAAGGCCGGGGAGCCTATAAGGAAGATACTTAAGAAGCGTTTTCTGAAGAAGTTCTTTCACTTTGCCCGCGGCCGCACCCCAGTGCTCTCCAATCGGGTAAGTGACCTTCTCTCGTGTCTCATAACTGCACTCTGTCTCCCCCCCCCCCTTTTTTTTGTTTTTTTTACCGGCCAAAAAAAATCCCCTTGACTCTTTTCTTGTGGCCCTTCATGAAAGTACTTTAGTTTTTTCGACGTCTCAAAGCAACGCAGGTTTTTCATGTCGCATTGCTGCACGGTTCGATGAATCTGAAACTTTTCGCGGTCATTCATACCTCTTGCCGTGCTTGCTGACAGCAGAGAGGATAGCACAGAACGAGAACAGGCATGTTGGGGTGTCTATTTTTAGGAATCTTAAATTACAGACAGCGTTTGCATCTCACGCACATCAAAGTTTTGAGGCGCCTCAAAACTAGACATCTCACGCACGTCCAAATTACTTTCTCGCCTCTTACCCTCCTCTCCTGGCCCCCCTCCTTTGTTGTTACATTCTGACTTTGTTGTTACATTCTGACTTTGTTGTTACATTCTGCAAGTTGCCACGATTCTTTTCCTCCCCGTGCCCCCTCTGCTGGACTGCAGGCAGCAGAGAAGATAGCACAGGCTTACGCGGAAATGAGGGCGCAGGGCATGGACGCGAGAAGGAGGGTGAGTAGAGGGCTGGCTTGGACGAGAGCAGGAGGGTGTGTTGGGATTCTGAGACATTTCTACAGGTGAGTTCTCAAGAGAAGATAGCACAGGCGTATGCAGGGATGAGGGCGCATGGCGTGGGCGCAAGGAGGCAGGTGAGTAGAGGGCTGGCTTGGACGAGAGCTGGAGGGTGAGCAGGAGGGTGAGCAGGAGGGTGAGCAGGAGGGTGAGCAGGAGGGTGAGCAGGAGGGTGAGCAGGAGGGTGAGCAGGAGGGTGAGCAGGAGGGTGAGCAGGAGGGTGAGCAGGAGGGTGAGCAGGAGGGTGAGCAGGAGGGTGAGCAGGAGGGTGAGCAGGAGGGTGAGGTGGGATTCTGAGACATTCAAAGAGGTGGGCTCTCAAGAGAAGATAGCACAGGCGTATGCAGGGAGGGATGAGGGCCCATGGCATGGGCGCGTGAAGGAGGTTGAGTTTATCTTCAGGGCTTGTTGTATTTTTTGAGACGTCTCAAAACTTGAGTTTATCTGCAAGGCGTGGTGTTCTGAGGCATGTGCAAACGTGCATGTAATATCATATTTATCTAAGCGCCTTTTAGCTTCAGCTCATTAGCAGTTTCTGACTACCCCTCCCTCCTCTTTCCTTCCCTTCCTCCTCTTTCCTTCCCTTCCTTTTCACCCCCCCAGTCGGATCAAGGCACTCTCCCTGTGACGGCCCGTTCTCTCGAGACCATGATCCGCCTGTCCACGGCACATGCCAAGCTGAAGCTGCGGCGAGAGGTGAGGTGAAAGGGGGCTTGATGTGAGGCTGTGGTGGGGTGTGCAGTTACATGGTGGGGCGTGCAGTTACATGGTGGGGCGTGCAGTTACATGGTGGGGCGTGCAGTTACATGGTGGGGGGTCAAGCTGTGTTCCCCTCCCCTCCCCTTCCCTCCCCTCCCTCCCCTCCCCTCCCTCCCTCCCTCCCTCCCCCCCTCCCTATGCACCCCTGTAGGTTCTGGAATCGGATGTAGCAGTAGCGCTGAGCCTGCTGGAATTTTCTCTGTACCATCGCGAGCTGGATGAGACGGACAAGCGGATGGAGGAGGAGGGGGGTGTTAATTCGGCAGTGCTGTTATTCCCTCCTTGCCCCCCCTGCTCGACCATTCCCCACCAGGTGTTGGAATCGGACGTGGCAGCAGCATTAAGCCTCCTTGACTTTGCTCTGTACCATCGCGAGCTGGATGAAACCGACAAGAGGATGGAGGAGGAGAGGCAGCGCGTGGAGCAGCAGCGGAAAGAAGCTGTTGCTGCCGCCGCCGCTGCTGCTGCTGCCACGACTGCTTCTGGTGATGGTGCTGCTGATGGTGCTGCTGATGGTGCTGCTGCTGGTGCTGCTGAAAGTGTGGGTGGAACCGCAGCAGCTGCAGCTGGGGGACGGCCGCGGCGAGGAGGCGGGCGCAAGACAAGGTGCGTTAACTGTTTAGTGCTTCTGATGCTGCTGATGGGGCTGGTGCGGCTAGTGCTAGTGGTGCTGCTGATGGTGTGGCCGGAGCAGCAGCAGCAGGGGGGGGGGGGGGGGGGGGGGGGGGAGCGGACGCGGCGAGGAGGCGGGCTCAAGGCAAGGTGCGTAGTTCTTGTGTGGCTGGCAGGAAGGGTGGGTGGGACGTGGAGCGTGTATCATTTTGAACTCTTTTTGAAAAAATATGCAAATGAAATCTGGGAGCAAAGGGTGGTGCATTGGCATGAATTCAGAGGCGAAAGGGGGCGAGGAAACTTGTGAGCCAAGGAGAGAAACCAGGCTGTATCAGCGCCCGCGAGTTGAGGTGACTTTTGAGTCGACTCAAAAGAAAGGGGCCGAGGAGGCTTGTGAGCCAAGGACAACCAGGCCATATCAGCTCCCGTGAGTTGAGTTTTGAGTCGACTCAAAAGAGAGGGAGCGAGGTGACTCCTCCTGAGTCAAGCGCAGGAACCAGGCTGTATCAGCGCCCGTGAGTTAACTTTTCAGTTGACTCAAAAGAAAGGGGGCGAGGAGACTCCTCCTGAGTCAAGCACAGGAACCAGGCTGTATCAGCGCCCATGAGTTAACTTTTCAGTTGACTCAAAAGAAAGGGGGCGAGGAGACTCTTCCTGAGTCAAGCACAGGAACCAGGCTGTATCAGCGCCCGTGGGTTAACTTTTCAGTTGACTCAAAAGAAAGGGGGCGAGGAGACTCCTCCTGAGTCAAGCACAGGAACCAGGCTGTATCAGCGCCCGTGAGTTAACTTTTCAGTTGACTCAAAAGAAAGGGGGCGAGGAGACTCCTCCTGAGTCAAGCACATGAACCAGGCTGTATCAGCGCCCGCGAGTCGTGATTTTTGAGGTGCCTAAAAAATCACCTCACTGCTCGCGGATTCAGAGGCGAAAGGGGGCAAGTAGACTTCTGAGCCAAGGAAAGGAACCAGGCTGATCAGCGCCCGCAAGTTGTCTTGCTCTTGCAATCTGTCCCCCTCCCGCCTTTCCTTTTGGATGTACCCACTCGTTCCTGCAGGTCTCGTGGGAAGAGTCAACGCAGGGATTCACAGGCGGAAGGGAGCGAGGAGGCTCCTGAGTCAACGATATAACCAGGCTGTATCAGTGCCCGCAAGTCGTCTTGCTTTTGCGATCTGCCCCCCCCCCCCCCCTCCCTCCCTCCCTTTTGGATGGACCCACTCGTTCCTGCAGGTCTCGTGGGAAGAGGCAACGCAGGGATTCACAGGCGGAAGGCAGCGAGGAGGACGAGGAAGAATATGTGGAGGAGGGGGAAGAGGAGGAGGAAGAGGAGGAAGAGGTGGAGGAGATTGAGATGGAGGAAGAACCTGCAGCCGGGGTTCCACAGTACGTTCGGTCTTCCCTTCCGTCCTTATTTGTCGGTGTTTAAGTGGGTGGGATGGGAATCAAGGCAAGGAAGAGGGTGGGGATGGCAACGGTGTTGAGCAGCCTTACATCATCTCACTCCTGCCCCATTACAAACGTTCTTTTTGTTCACCTTTCGTGATTTTGCTCCTCCCCAAGCACCCACCACCCAACCGCACCAACACAGCCTTTGATTTCTTGTTTTCCAACAATTTGTTTGCCAGGTTTTTTTTCCTATCGCCATTTTTTCTGTCCGTAACCCCCACCCCAACTCCTTTCCTTATCCCTCTCCCCACCAGCCTGGGTGACCCGGCATCTGCTTCTGCTGCCGATGGGGCCTTCACTGCTGAAAGGTGGGGTTTCTGTTCCTTTCTCCCTCACTCTCTCACACCATCACCGCCCTAGGCGACCGTTCACCAGCTTCTGCTACAGATGGAACGTTCAGTGCTGAAGGGGGGGCTTTATTTTTTCTGCCCTTTCTCTGTCTTTCTGATTCACGGCAAAAGCGGTTGCCCCTTTCTCTGACTTACGTTTCTTTGGTTCAGGATGTTGTTGTCAATGTCCACCCCAAAACAACTTGTTTTTTTGGGGAGTTTGTTTTGTGTTTTGAGTCGACTCAAAGCATGGTTCAGGATGTTGTTGTCGATGTCCACCCTATAACAACTTTTGAGACGTCTCAAAAGTTGTCCACCCCAAAAGCAACTTTTGAGACGTCTCAAAAGTTGTCCACCCCAAAAAATCTTGTTTTTTTGGGGTGTTTGTTTTTCACTCCTCTTTTTTATTGTGTTTATTTTGTCCTTTTTATGCGTAACAATTGTAGATTCGATGCCTTCCACCTGGCGTTCAGTGAGCATGCGGTGGCAGTGAGGGTGACGGATTTGGGTGGAATGTCATGGTCACATCAATGCGTTTTCCCTCTCCTCTCCCTGTGCATTCAATACCCAGATTCGACGCCTTCCAGCTGGCGTTCAGTGAGCATGCAGTGGCAGCGAGGGTCGAGTCGATAGCAGTGGAGGAACTGGCAGAGGTGGTCAACAAGCGATGGCCGGGGAAGAGCTTCACTCGGGCTGAAATCGATGCCATGCTGGAGGTGAGATGGTGGAAGGGTGATGAGAGTGAGTTGGTGGTTCGTAGATGGGATCTGGTTGACTGGTGGGTCGATTCGATAGCAGTGGAGGATTTGACAGAGGTGGTCAACAAGCGATGGCTGGGAAAGAGCTTCTCTCGGGCTGAAATCGGTGCCATGCTGGAGGTGAGATGATGACTTATTAATACGCTGTCTCGCTGTCGAGGTTATGGTGAGTTGAGGGTAAGATGGGAGTGAAGCGAGGGTGAGGTGCGAGGGTGGTATGAGTATGGCTTGAGGGTGGGTTGGTGGCTCGTGGCTCGTTGATGCGATCTGTTTGACTGGTGGGTCGAGTCGATAGCAGTGGAGGAGCTGGCAGAGGTGGTCAACAAGCGATGGCCGGGAAAGAGCTTCTCTCGGGCTGAAATCGATGCCATGCTGGAGGTGAGGTGATGGGGAGATGAGGGTGAGATGAGGGTGAGATGAGGGTGAGATGAGGGTGAGATGAGGGTGAGATGAGGGTGAGATGAGGGTGAGATTGGGGTGAGAAGGGGGTGAGATGAGGGTGGGACAATGGTGAGTGAGGTGAGGATGAATGCATCCTGAGTTAAGTCATTCTGGCCTTTGTTTCTCGTTTGGGGTGGAGTACACAAGTGGGTTGCCGTATGCAATGGTGGCTGCACAATTTGGCGAAGAGTTTATGTTCTTAGTGTCGATGGCCGCCTGTTAATGGTTGAGGAACCTGTGAAGCTAATTCTTTTCTTGTGTCGTCGTGCAGCAAATGGAGGTCAACAACCGAGTCATGGTTGCAAGCGGCGTTGTGCACCTCATATAGCACCCATGAGCGAAGTGTTGTCTGGCATTGCTAAGTGCCGGAACTGGTAAGCATGATACAAAGCTTTCTGGAAAATATTGATGCAGGAGTGAAGCTGAAGAAGAGCAAAAAATTGTACTTTGCCGCATGAAGTTGGCAGAAAAACAAGAGGTGTATGGCATTGCTGAAGTGTTGCAGACGGAATTCCAATACAACAGGATGAAGTGAAACACTAAGGGCTAGGTATGCAATTGGGTGGAGTACTCTTGCCACAAGAGTACAATTAGTACAACAAAGAGGGATTTTATCTGCATGTGAAGAGTACAACAAAACGGAGAGGATAAGATGATCCAAAATCCCAAGAGTGAATTGCAGTTCAGTAGCATCCTTGCCAAAGGCTGAGCAACAGCATATGGTAGTCTTTCAGCAGGATCTTATTTCCAGGCAAAAAGTACAACAGAGGATAATTTTGTATCCCCAACGACCGACACTGACATGTAGTATCCCGGCTGAATGCTGAGCAACAGCAGTACGCCAGGCGGGTCTCCAATTTGCGTTGAAGACGTGACAACACAAACATCATGGCCTGAAGGATAGAGACTAGGCTGGAGGATGTACAAGGATGGAGAAGGGACGGATGGTGCAGCTGGGAATAAATACCGTTAGGCTTGAATGTGGGTGGGAGGAGGCTGGTTGGCAGTAAGAGGTGGTGGTAGTCACGGGTCGCCTCATTTGTCTGTGCGGCTTAATAAATACGGTACCAGTTTAGAGAGGGTGACAGCATCGATTTGCTGACGGCGACTTCCGTCAATCAATGGGCGTTATCCGTCAGATAGTTGACGATATCCGTCAATGAGCTGGCGATGTCCATCAATAGGCTGGGGCTCTCTGTGGTGTACTTTTTCTCCTGTTCGAGCTAGGAAGGACAGATCTTGGCGAGGAGCTCCACGACGATCGCGAGTTTCGCGAACGTTTAGGCACGGATGAGTAGTCGTAATCAAGTGACGTCGTCTCCTTTTCCTCGAAGGACGAACCACTATCGGAGTACGCAAAATTTCGCGAGGCGTCGTGCTTCATAGGCGACAGCTCATCCTGAGAAGAATACGACCCGCTATCTGAGGTTGCTAAGCTTGTCAATAACTGAATTGTAGCCTTCCTCTTTATCAGCTCTGACGAAGGCGTGTTCAGGCGTTCAAGAGCCTCTACCTGCAACGTAGAAGCACAATTGATGAGAATTGGACGGAAAAATAAACTTCGACATAGACCGCATGACCGAAATTGACAATTGAGACGCCGTTCTGAACGGCTAGTTCTTTCGAGTCGGAGACGTACCTTGCAACCCAAACAGCAGTAGCTGAATTCGTCTTGAAGCATTCGAGCGCATGTCAGACATGAATTGGTCGTCTTGGTCGGCCGGGGCTGAGGCCTCTGGTTCAAGAACACCACCCTTGAGCCATTGACAATGTAGGCCTGTAAAAAAGAGAGGGAAGAATCTCGGTTATGGCGGGAATGACATTGAAACGAATTATCAATTGGAAAGTCCGAAAGAGACTCAGGCACCTGAACTCCGCCACAGTCCACGAGCTTCGTGATGTCTTGAAGCCGAACAACGTCGTGATATACGTATCTCCGAATCTGGACAAAGGAAAAGGTGAAATTGTTTGAGTCTGTTTGTTTGAGGTAAGGACAATTGGACTCTCAATGTAGTCCATTCGACCCTCGTCCTTTCCGAAATTGGCAATCCGCTTGAATTTCCCGTGAAACATGCAAAATGCAGCAGTTTAAATGCGAAGGATTTAGCAACAGACGCACCTGGAGCATTTTATGGGATTGATGACTTGGCATGCAATGCTGGCAAAGCTCCTCCATGCAGTCCAGGCAGAACAAATTCATCTCGTTTTTTTTCAGCGACACGTGTTGCGTGCAAGGAGAGAAAAAATCCCCCTTCAGAAGGCAATCAAGCCACTGAGGACGCTCAACGGCAGAACCCTCGGAGAAAATCAGCGCTCTTCGTGCAGCCATGACTCCAAGCTGGAATTACGACGCAATTTTATTCGAAGCAAATGTATCAAACCTCGTGAAGGCTGATTGTGAGCATTTGAATGTAGAGCCTTCCATTGGCTTGTCTACAGAACGAGCAAGAACGAGGGGCTGCTGAGCTCGGCTTGATTCCGTTCCAATGCCCTCGAATCAGGGACTGCCCAAACAGCGCCAGCACGAACAAGGAAATGGCATCACAAGATTTTTTAGAGCTGCCCAGGCTTCTATACGGGCGGAGTCCAATGGCCGCTCATAACAAAACTAGGGTGATTCCGGCCATTGGACGATCAGGAACTGCCCTTCCTGGAACAGTGTGTTTCAGCACACACACGCTGAGCGCCTGCCACTAGGAGGATTCCTTGTGCCAGCGCGGATAATGCTAGAAAGGACCGTCAGACATGAAACTTTTCCAAGTTCGTCGGCATGTGCGGGCGTCTTATTTGTCACTCTCGCATTGGCTACTTTTTGTTTGACAAGCCTCGTGGTCCAAGATAAAAACATATCAATATATTTCTCAAGAAAAACATCTCCTGGTTTGGGGGCCAGCTCATGCAGTGCACCTTGGGATGAAATGATGACGAGCTACACCGTGGTGTGCCCCTCTCACTCAGTCCCTCCCTTTTCTCACACACAGGTCCGGTCCGAGACTCCGAGAGCAACCCTCAGTGTTCTGCCAAACGTACGCCACGCCACCTTGACACTGAGCCTAACCAATATATCATGCCACGGATTCTGCCAATGGCCTGCCTAGGCCGAGTGCTTCATTCCCCAGTTTGGAGGGGAGCCACGTCACACAGTAAGACAAATCTGAACACGCAAGAAATGCCCACGGCAACTTTCACTCACACGCCAGTGACGCCACAGTAGTATCTAACGCGCTGGCCCTAGCCGTACAAGACTAGGGAAACTGGCACGCGCAAACAAAAAAAATCTCCCTTGAACGTGGGCATGGGTCAAGCAAGATGTCAAACATGAAACTTCGGTTACAAGCGTACAGTCAAGCGTACGTATCAGGGTAGAAACATAATGTACACAAGAACCAGCTTACTCTTAAAATAAACGTTCATATTGACTATGAATACTACACATTTTATAATTCAGAATACAACTAGCGTGGAAGTGAGATGTAGTTGGAAATATTAATAATAATTATACGGGCAATAAACATCTGGAATGGAAATTCCGGGATAGGTTCAATACTGCCATCATATATGCATTATCACAAATAATGATGTCTAGAAAAATGTGTATGATGGCCATTTTTGGGCCTTTTCACATTGAATATGATATATTGCAAATATACCCCTTGTTTTTTTTTTCTAGAACTAATCACGGATGTCTCTTTCACTATAAGATATTGTATGATCCGAACCCATTGTGCACATTAGAACATCCGAACATCCCCGCGCAAATCGGTCGTCAGAACCGATTTGCCGGTGTCGTCAGAGGGGGTCGTCGGAGCCGGGCCCGACGAGGCGGGCAACTGACGCGCGTGCGGGCCCGCCAGCCTGGCCCAGGGCCGGGCCGAGCGCACGACCGCCGCCCCGCAACCTCCCTGCGTGATTGAACAGCGCCCCACGTTACCGGGTGGGGGCGGCGAGCTGGCGAGCCCTCGCGCGAGGGAAAGTAACCCTCGCGCGAAGGCAGCCCTCTCGTGCCCGCTGCCCGCGACGTCCTAGTGACCCTCGCGACCTGCCCGGACGGGCAGGCGAGGGCCATGCGAAATTCGGGTGCTCCCCTCGGGAAGCTCGACGATTTCGCGACCCGTTGCGGTGACGCCACGTGCTCGCACGCGGGTTCGCATCGGGTGCATGCGAAATTTCGAGCCCGGCGAAATCGGTTCGCTCGCATCGCGGCGCGGGGTTTTCGCGATCCGGGGCGAAGTCGACACGTGTCGGCCGAAACGACGCACCGCGTGCATGCGAAATTGCGTCCCCTCGCCGAGCGAAGCCGGGGGACGCGAAGTCGACGTGCTGGCTCGGCGACGAAGGAGCGCTTGTGCATGCAGCCCGCCAAACCCTGCCGAGCCAGGCACCACGAACCCTGGGCGATGCCTCAACCGGCCTGTGGGGCACCGACTCCCTTTCCTTGGCGGAAGGAGGCATCGCTCCTCATTTTCGGCATCTCGTTTCACTTTCAACATTACTCCCACACTCTCGTCCCTTCTTAGCCTGCAGTCAATTCCCTTCAACGCAATGGAGGCCGACCCGAAAGCCGGCGAAGCGGCGCCGACCGTGCAGGACTTCCCTCTGTATCTCGACCTCGGTAGTGGACTCACTGCCAAGCTCGAGGAACACGACTACGCCGTCCTCGTAGACCATAGGCTAGAGTTCAACGCCCGTTGCTTGGGATTCGGCATCAAGTGAGTCTGCGTATGTGGATGTCGGCGTCGACATCTTCTTACATTGCTGGTCGACGCAGCGTCGGTGTTAGGGTTGTCCCACGTCGGAGGCGGCGCTACGAGTTCACGTCGACGCCGACAGTAGGTCGGTGTCGGCACAGGCATTAGGCACGCATCGGTCGGCTCAATTGATTACAACGTCGCGAGGGTGGTGCACCGTCGTACGATTGCCATCCCCGTCGGTCGGCGGTTCCTAAA